CTTTTCAGTCGGCAGATCTACAAGACTGCTCCGACAAACATTCGAATCTCTTTCAACTAGATGTTGATGATGATAAGTCCTGGATTGAATTAACCCCTCAAATTACAAGGGTTACAGGACCATATCTCTTTGAACCAAAAGAGATAATTCAAAAGATTAAGCATTCTTTAGCCTCTAGCCAAGGCGCTTTAATCTACACTTATGCTCAAATGCAAAAATTCTGGAATATGATTTCCGATAATTCAGAGATGAAAGGAATACTGCAAAAAGTATCCAGGTCCTTTCTAAATGCTAAAAAAATTTTCTTCAAAGACTCATACAGCCCGCTAGGCTCTTCCCAAACAATTTATTTGGACTATCTCATCTCTCCAAACTTTTGGAAAAACGAATACACCCGTATATTCGGGAAAGTACAATACTATTTAGAAAAATGCGGAATAGTCTTCGCCTCTTTTCTATTTGTGAAATTCATACTAGATTGCCTAGTATTCATAATAAAGGCTATGCATATTCACAAAATCACCGGCCGCTCACTACACTTTGGCAAAGTATTGCTTGCCGCTTCATATAATATACTTTTCACTTCCATAGTGACCTCAATTTTCACTCAAGATGAGGAAACTGAAAAAATAGAACAAGAATGTGATCAGAAAATACAAGCCCCTCTTTTAGAGGAAATTGACAAAATAAACCAGGATCGCATGTATCCTCACATCCAATTAACAAGTTTTGAGAGAAGAACTCAAAACTTGGATCACCCAACAAACCCAGTCTAATAAAAAAAAAAAAAATTTCTACTGTTCTAGGATATACCAACTGATTCAACTATGGACGCAACACTTGATGACGACTTGAGAGATTTCGAGGATCTCCTCTCACTTCTGCCACCAACCGATCCACTGGACTCGCAGATTTCAGCACTCACTCAACAACCAACTGTTTCTTCTACTACAACACCCACTGCAAAACCGACCTCAACACGATCCTTCGTTGAGCCACTACTTCAAACTAGTTCAGCTGTCCCAATAACTACAGCATCACAGCCACCACCCCTAAAAATTTCACCCCCTGATTTTCAAATACCCCTGGTTCCCTCGAATTCTAAAATTAAAAAACGGACCCAGATTGTAAAACCATATAAGATACTAACGGCAAATACGCCGGTATCAACTTCTCATTGTCCCATGACCATTAGGCGACAGCCCTTGCACCCCACTGAAATAAACACTAGATTACATATTCAGTTAGAAAGGGAACGATACATTAATTCTAAAAGCAATCCTGGCTTCGATATGGATCTCAATTATGCTTTGAATCCATTAATCAATCGTTTTAAATTAGAAGCTTATCACCCTATAAAAAAAATGTATTCCATAACTAATTCCCTTCTTGAATATCAAAAAATCTATGTCCCAGCAAAGTATCTGACAGCAAAATTACAAACCCCCCAGTTAGATGACTATACTGATCAAATTCAGCGCAGTCATATCCATGAAACGCACCAAATCCGGGAGCTGAAAAAGCAAATCCACAATTTGAAAACAAAAAATCAACAACTTATAGCCCGGTTGGAGGGAAAATTGTAAGAAATTTATCCTTTTATTTAAGCATTTATTCTTTCGCTTTATATAGCTATGTAGTATAGCTATTAATTTCCTTTTAACAATTTTGACTTTTATAAAAAACAAAAAACACAAAAAAATACCCCCTTTGTATGAACCAGTCCTCCCCTTATTACGCGTTTGGACAGACTTCACATACTTCAGGAAGAAAAGGAGACTTCGGAAAAAGAATGTTTAAGGAATAAAACTAACCTTCAAACTTTTGAGAAACAGATAATTTTGATGTATTTAATTTTATAGTTAAATCCCTTGGTTGTGTAAACTCTATTTTGATTTATAAATGTAACTGATGTGTTTATATTCATTCAAGCCTGACTCAAAGTATCAGTTGTTCAAAAACATCTGCTACCTGTAATACCAACAAACTATTGAACCAACTTTATGAGATTGAAAGAAAAAGCTTCGATTGATCAACAATTACCCCACTATTCAAGTAAAAGTAATAAAAATGAAAGTTTCAGTTTTTTCCCTCTCCAAATAGGAGGATGAATATGTTCTAATTTCAAATAGAAACAGAAACATGAATTATTTTATTGCGTTCACAAAATGTGACGCCGCCGCCACCACCAAAAGAAATATGTTTTTATTCCCTTGCAAAAGGAAGGGAAATGCTATTGGAATAATTCGTATAACGTTTTAAGCATTGAGAATTGAAACGACTATTCTCATTCAATACGAATATTAACGATTCCTCTCGTAAAATACGAGCATACGAAACCTTCTTCTCGTAAAATACGAATGTACGAATAAAGAATACGAAGTTAAAAGAAACTTCTCATTTGATACGAAAAGTGGCGTGATTTCCCAATCTGAGTATAAATAGAAGCTCAAAACTACGGGAATTCATTCCAACAATATCTCTTCTAACACCAACACCACTCTCTTCTACCACCCCAACCAATCTCTAAAAAATATCTCTAATCTCACCGTTAAAATAGATATTGAGTCAAAAGGCAACTTGCTGTAAATTCATACTAACTTCTTTTTTTAATAAAATATTTCTCAGCGAATTTTAGATTTACTTTCTAAGATAGAAAGTAGAAAGGACCCTTTATTCCTAGCAAGCGTTTTGTCCGGCGCACATAGTGTTGCTAGCGTAATATTACCAGACAATTTTCATACATTTTCGAAAAACAATAGAAAACATTAAATCATTTCTGCGGCTTTTTGAGAACAGTTGAACAGAGTGGTGACAAAAACAACTGATTTGAAATTTTTTTGAAAAAAATGCTTACCATACAATTTCCGTATACGACAAAATTTTTTTTTTTTTCAACCGCAAATCTAATTTTGTACGCAAACAAACATTTTCCGATACGACAATAATGGCTTTTTTTCACTTAAATTTTTTTTTCAAAAACACTGAAAACTATTTCTTTTGTATGACGTGTTTTTGTATGGCTTGATCAATGTCTGATAATTTGAAAATTCAAAAATTTAAAACAATCATCATTGAGACAATTCAGGTCGTTTTTCATGCATTGTAAATGCAAGACCGTCCAACCTTTGTTACTTTGAGTAAACCAAGGTCTTTTTCACTTGTGCTCGGTTGCAAACACAACCGAAAATTTGTCAGAAAATGAAAGTAGCAACAAAAACCAACTTTTTGGTTTATGGAGAAAAACCTTATCACACAATTTCCATTTATGGGAAAATGTTTATCATAGAAATTTTACACAATTTTCTGTACGTATGGAATTGTATGGAATTGTATGGAAAAAAATTTCCCATGAGAATTTTATGACAAGCATTTTCGGTCAACCCGGGTACTTTTAGATACCACGCTCATAACTTATACAATTCATAGGACTAATGACACGTTTCTCGTTTTAAACAATAACCCTCTCCAAGCATTAGTTAATACTGTTCCCCCTGTTAAAAGCCGCAGGGCCGGTACTTGCAGCCACAACGGATTTTTTTTTCACAGTACCACTATAGGTGGTTTTGGAGTTCCCACGGTACCGATTCCTGCTGTAGTTCCAGCGTTCCCCCTGTTGAAGTACAAGCGGATTAATATACTACTTGTTACTAAAGCTGCTCTCGGGTTGAAGTGCTCACTTAATGCTTCGACTTTCAAAGCCGAGCACATGTCGGTGCTCGACAAAAAAAAGAATAGTTAACACAGGGCTTTGGATCGAGCACCAACTCAAAATATACAGCGAGCACGGTCGATATATATCGAATTACAGTCGTACACAGTCGGAAAATACGAGCACGGTCGTAACATATCAAAATTTGAACGAGCAAGGTCAAAACAAACCTCGAGCACGGTCGAAACATACCGCATGAAAGGTAAAAAAAATATTTATTGCCCGCGGTAAGTCGGAGACATAAATATAAACTTTTTCCGAATACCAAAATAATTGTTAACGGTTTTGACTCATATAAAAACCACACTATACATGAAAATAAAAAAAAAATAAGCTGAAAACACTCAGATACTTTATTCAATTTATAGGACTAACGATATATTTATCCTTTTAACCAATAACCCTCTCCAAGCGTTATTCAAAACTTTTCCCCTGGCTAAAAGCTACAAAGCCGGTACTTGCAGTCACACTGGAATTTTTTCACAGTACTCCTTAAGGTGGTTTTGGTGTTCCCACGGTACCGACTCCTACTTTAGTTCCACCCTTCCCCCTGTTGGAGTACAGGCGGATTAATATACTAGTTAGATTGACAAATTTTTTGAAACGATACTTTTTTTAAAGAGACACAAAACCGACACATTTTTTGAAACCAAATATTTCATTTTTGCAAAAAAAAAGCAAGTATTGATTAGTTTCAAACCCAGAACCTTTGCTAATGCAGGCGTATTATTCGTTACTTTCAGACTGAGTGCACCATAGTTTCTGGGAAATTTGAATTCATAATCAAACAAAGCAGCAAGTGATTCTGTTAAATAAGTTGTTAGCTCGAAAATGTACTCTATTCTAATTTGATAACGATTGCTAATTGCAAGCTTACTAATTTTTAAGATAAAAAAAATTAAAACGGTTTTTTCTACAAAATAGTATTATCAAAAGTATCACTTTACAGGCAATACTTGAATACAGTAAAATTAAAATACAACGACAACTGTATAAAAAATTGGAAGAAAAATAACCACCTTAAATTACCTATTTGTAATTTTGCTGTTGTAAAAATCGAACTTGGCCAAAGAAAGTACAGTCCGAGAACAATTGGAGAGAAAGTTTCTGGAACAATACAGAAAAACTCAAGAGCCGAAACAATACAGAAAAACTCACTTAGTAACTGGATCATACTTCTAAACGAGTACCAGAAGCTTAACTAGCAAAGCGAATTTCATTCCTCATGGATCCAAGTAGCATGCGATAAAAAAATTCAAAAGCATGCTCTTTCAATGCTATGACTAACATTATGTCTGCCTGAATGTTCTCCCTCGCCCTGAAGGGATCTTCTGGTCTGGGAGAAGTTTGGTCTCTGCTGCCAGTATCCAGTGTGTCTGCGCATCTCACTCTCCCGCCGGATCTTCTCCAGGGTAGCTGCGGTTTCCCTCTCCGCCTCCCGTCGCTCCTCCATCATCTCCTATTAAGGAACAGACCGCTAATTACGTCAGGTTAACACTATTTACAAATACTGATGTAGTTCTCCTCATTGAGGACAACAACATGGTAACTTCATGCTAACTTTTTTTTATAGTGGGCTGTTTAATTTTTTCTCAACCCCTTGCACCACAAGCACAGATCATGAGTGTATTAAACATCAAATCTTTCTAATGAGAACCGAAAGTCTTATTAACTTCATTGACGGTCCCATTACAGGATAAAAACTGCAAAATTTGTTTTAGACTAAGAATGATCGGCTTCAACTCCTAATGAAAACTCAACAAGGAGGGGGGAAATAGATAGGCATATCTTTTACTTGGAAGCTCTTATCCCTCTCCTTTTGTTTCTCCAGCCACCTCGCTTTGATCTCTGCCATCCGGATGTCCTTTTGTCGCTGGATTTCCCGCTATAACACGATATGAGCCACTTGTTTCGTCAGCTAATCTGTATTTAAGTTAGGCAAAATGTAATACCGTAGTCACATTTTTGTGGTTTTTCGAATAGCCTACAGTCAGTTTCAATCAAATATCCTAATTAACTTTTTTTTATGGAATCATACCAAAAAGTGCACAAAGGGTCGTAATTGTTTTTTCTTAGATTTTGTAATTTTTTGAGATTTCTAGAAGCTTTTCTTCCTCATTCTCCGCTATGAGCATGATGACAAAAATCATTAAAAAACCAGAATCAACGACTTGATATTTTTTTTATTGGCTCGAAACAGTTATTTATATAACAATAATTCTGACCTTAGCCTCTCTTGCTTCCTCCTTGCTTCTCTGCGCCTCCTCCCAGATGCGTCTCAGTTTCTCCTCCTCCATCTCCTTCCGCTGTCTGGTCCTCATCTCCCTCTCAGCCGCTGCACCCCTCGAGAGCTAGGGATAAGGGAAAGGATAAAAGATATTGCTGATTAAACAGTGCTCATTGCGAGGCTAAACTGTGCACTGGATAGGCGCAATATTTTGTTTCTGTATGTTCCTGGATTCGAGAAACTAATCATTAAACACATTCCAAAATGTAAGTGGATTCCACTTACAAAACTTCCGTGAATTCGGCGTACAAATGAGTGTAACGTATTTGTTGTGTCACGGATTTGTTGTGGGACGGATTCCGCCACAAGCCAATATGGCTTGTTGTTCTGGATTCCGCAAACTGTAAGTGGATTCCGAACTTTGTTTATTATTGAACTTGCATATGAACAGGTAGAAGCTAAAGCTGGAATTCTTATCTTTAGCAATGCGGAGTTTAAAAGCAGGGACTTAACCATTGTCAGCGGAATCCTCGAACAAATCTGAAAACATTGTTTAACTAAATCGGTGGATGTCATCTTTTAGTATTTGGGATACATACCCCAGCAAACATTTTTTGGTATTATAGTTTTGGAAACACAACACCGAATAAAATCATTATATGGAGTCATTGGGTTACGAGTGTTCAGAAACACAACGCACAGCATATTGCCGAATTAGTTCAGCATTTGGGATTCCATCAATCCCAAATACTGGTCGGTATTTGGGATTCTATCAATCCCAAACACCAATCATGTAATTGAAAGATTGCATTTTTACTGCAACTTTTATATATAAACATATATATATATATATATATATATATATATATATATATATATATATATATATATATATATATATATATATATCGAAATCCGCAAACAAAATGTGGATTCCACTTACAATTTGCTGATTCCGCTTACATTTGCGGATTCCGCAACAGCTCAATTTTACTATACACATGTCTAATTGTTTGTTTGTGGATTCCACAAATTGTTCTGGATTCCGTAAGTACGGTTGCAGGTCCGCAAATTTGTCTATTTTTGGAGCGATTTTGAGCGGTAGAGTGTTTCAGGTATTTGTTTGTGGAATCCATAACAGCAATATCAATGAAAATTAGCAATGATGTGGATTCCTCGACAAGTCTGATTGTCGCCTGTTGTGGAATCAGTTTATAATGCACCGAATGCACAGTTTGGCCTCATGATGCTGCAGCAAGCTTTTTATGTTGAACTAGGGGTGAATCTAGGCTTTTCTAAATAAAAGGCAGAGATTTCCAAAAATTTGTTAAGCTCGTTACAGTTGGAATTAGATTTTTTTTTCGAATGCCATTTACATAAAATGGTAATTTGTCTGAGAGATGGGCAAAAAAAACGGAAAGCACCAATTTCTGATTTTTAAGTTTTTTTTTCAATAATGATTTTTAAGCCAGGCAGTTCCTGTTTGGATTTACTAAAATCAACATTCTTATATGCAAGGATATTTCTTCTAAAGAGCATTTTTATTGATATTATGTGACAACGCCAAAAGCTGAGCAAACTAACTTCCATCTAAAGCAGAGTGTGGGGCGTACGTCTCCCATCAGGGATTAGTCTACCTCACCAACCAAAGGGTCTCCCTATATTATTATTACATAACATCTTTTCGGTCGACCAGAAGTATAAATTTTCAAAAGGTGCCTTTGGCGCCAATATATACTAATTTTTAAGTTAAGCGCGCGCCGAAAAAACTCGGATTTCTAATCACAACGTCGCATAAAGTGCCAAAACAGCATTTTTTATCTCTTTTTTCAAAAACTTGCCAGCTGCGTTGAAAACTTGTTCTGTTAAGGTTATGGGACCGCTCAGAAAATTATTTTAGTTGACCTAAAAAAAGAGGACGACAAAACTTTTAAATTGTTTTTTGAAAATACAACCCCCTCCCCTCAAGAGAACCCTAGATTCGCCCCTGATCTAAACTAAACTGAACTTGTATTTTTTTTCAAACAAATAGTTTTTATGAAATTCGACGTTGTAAAAGTTTAAGAAACTTTTAATGATCAATTATTATAACTCATTTACATAATAAAGAGATCAACTACAAACCTTAGGCCATTCATTTCATTTGCTCACAAAGAAAAGATTTTTTTCGTTCCATAACATGAAAAATAAAGCTTCATACTATCAAGAATAAAATAATTTCTTACCTCATGTTTACCCCCACTAGGTGGGGTGTGCACCATGTTCATTTGTGATTCAGATCTGCGCATTCCCCCACCTACACCTCCTGATGCACCATTAAGTTCAAACAGACAAGATTACAGCTACAAAAAAACTTATACCTGGCAAGTTTTGGTGCGTTATTCGAATACGTTTTGCTCGTTTTCTGCTTAAAATTCAAAATATTAAATTTTATACATAAACAATGAAACTAAGAAATCAATAAAATATCTTTATAATTACTCTATAAAAAGAAAAAATAAGTTTTTATTCTTTTAGAAGATAGAATTTAGCAAAAACACCAAGAAAAAAGTATATGCAAAATTATGTCTGTTTGAACTTCGTCCCTCCCCCTCCCCCCGTCCGAGAGTCCATTCGGCGCATGCCCCCTCCCCCTCCTACCACTCTGGATTCAGGGGGCATTCTGCCAATGCCATGCATGCCCACAGGGCCTCGGAATCTAGAATATTGGAACCAGTTCTAAACTAGTATTTATAAACCAATTCTATTATTGATAAAATGATCTCTATTAAATATTACTAACTAACCAATCATATTCCATCACTAACATTGACACTTATTTGTAAGTGCTGGAACTACTTGTAGTTTCAGCACCAGAACAATTTGAATAAATCTTAGACTACAGTCCAGTCGTTCTCCTTCTGGATAAACTCCAAGAATTAACTCGTAAATACCAGTGTACACTAGATCTATTGAGACTAGGAGATATAAGAGTAAGAGTAAGATTGGTATTAGACTAAGAAGTTGCACGAATCTATCCGGCCAAAAATAAGATAGCGTGACGAACAGACGGTGTACCTTATCTGAAATTACTCTACGAGTACAGTACATTGTACATAACTCAATAAAATAATTATCTGTAGCATATCTTGACGAGAGAATGAAATTAAGACGATAAAAATAATAACTTGGAAAGTTTACATACAAACAACACAAAAGTTGAGCCAGCAAAAACTCTACACCTTTCTTCTACGAGTCATTATATGATTCAAAATGTAGCAAACTGCCATGCGACACAATTCTAAACAGAATTTATGCTTCTTTGTCTCAATTCATTTATGCGAAAACTTCATACGGCCATTTTAAATGTCATCTTTTTTTTCAGAAAAAAAAATCAAAAAACGCAAAAATTTCAAATTAAAATAAAAACGAGGTTTCTGCATTTTCAGCGAGAGGATTGAATCTAAGAATCTATGAATCTAAGAGGCGAAGCCGCTCTTTGCAGACATGAGCAAAAACAGGGCAAAAAGTAGCTATAAACTGGATCTGGATATAAAGAGTCACACATCTTGACATTTGCGCAATGGTCGCCTAAGAATATTCAAAAAGTAGGAGCCCAGCTAAAGGTGAGGGTACCTTTTTGATGAAACTTTTGAGAAGTGTACCGATGCAAAAGGTACACCTTAGTTTTTCAAATGCATTAAAATGTCAGAAATTAGACCTTTATCAAATACATAGCTGATTCCTATCAACAAAAGAACGGAGAGCCTGCTTTTTCAGAGGAAATTACAACTCCATTAGATAAATTTTTGTTCATTTTGGAATTTGTATGGTAGTTCTTGGAAAAATGATATGAGTCCAAAAATGCGTAAAAAAAAAACAAATTATTTGCAGATTCATAGCAGATATTCTGTGACAATTGGAAAAATGCGCTTGATCAGGGTATACTTTTACAGCTTGTTTTTTTTTCCATTGAGCCCTTTATCTCAGGTTTAAACCCCAGTGCTCGAGAAAATTTAAAAAAAAACAAGCAAATAAAATCTTGTCACAAATAGCTTCTTTACAGAACAAATGAGGCTTGGAAGCTATTAACAGACTTTTACTGATACCCGTTTTCTCAATTGATCACTTAATCTTAGATTTGGCAGAGTAGTTTTCGAAAACAGAATAGAAAAAATCCAAAAAACGGTCAACATTTTGATAGTCGCAAAGTAGAGATATTTAGTAGCACTTTTTTTGATCGATTGCACCTTTATCTCAGATTTGGCAAAATAACTGTCAATAAAAGTCTTCAAAAATGGTCGTAATTTCAAAAAATACACGTTTGCTAGTCCAAAATTATTTTTCTACAAAAGTTATGGCGCAGTGAAAAAATCTTTCTTGCTGTTTTTAGATTCAGATGTGGCAGGGTAAATTCCGAAAAATAAAATAATCCAAAAAAATGGGTCATAAATCCACCTGATTTTTTCGATGGTCGTAAAACGCCCAGCGATGAAATAAAAAGCGACTAGCGGATCATTCAGGCATATAAGGGATGGGGTTCTCACCATTGGTAAAAAAATTTTGAAATCGGTGAAGATGTTCTCGTGAACAAATAATAAAAAAAATTGTTAACAAAGAAAAAATGTTCTTAAGCGTTTCAAAAAGTAATCATCATAAACCAAATACAAAACTATAAGGCTATGGAGCAAAAGTTAACCCGAGAAAAAAAATGCAAAGGTGCCACCAAAAACCAAATAATGTTCAACTTTATTTGCTACTTAGTTTGGAACAAAAGAAAACCGTAATATGACAATATTCTGCGCTTGTGTAAATATATTCAATTAATATTTCATACCTTTCGTATTCACTTTCCCCAGCGTGTGATTTAGCAGGAGCTGGAAGTCCCAGTAGACCTGGACTGGGCTCTCCTGACCTCGCCGGAAACGACGAGCCATGTCCAATGGTTGATGCCATGCTGAGGAAGACGGAATATTATATTAAATTGAAAATTTTAGCCGTTTTCGGAAACTGTAATGGTTTTCTAACGAGACGACCGTAAATATGTTTCGCTCTACCTTTAAGATATGCACAAACCGCACCGAGATCCGAATAATACCAATGACATGAAAAAACTCTTCCCAAAACAATGAAAAGCAAATTCGTTTATGCTGATTTTTTTTTCTTGCTGGCGGAGTTGTCAGTAATTGGAGTTCCTTAATTTTAGAGTTTTCATTGGCGAAAGTGTTTATCCACTATATTCCTCATAATAGTCCATAATGTGAATATATTTGGAGGAAAAAAGCCCGAAATCAGACGAAGGTACAGAATTGCTGAAGCATCAAATATAGGCATTGGTAAGCGAGCGGTTGTTTTAATGATGCTGCTAGAGTTTTATATTTACCTTCTCATAGAAGGCTGAAAGCCCCTAGGTAATGTGAAAGAAGATTTCTGTCTGTAAACCATTCTGACAATTTTATTTTATTATATAGTGTAGGTTTATTCTCTATGAAATACTGTATAAACCGAACAGATATGAAATATGGGATCTGATGTATTCTGAGCTAAACTACGAGAAATACTTTTTAGTCTCTTTCTTTGTCAGTTTGTTGCCATAAAGTATATTAATTTCATATGAAAATTTGCACCGTGTTATTAATGAACAATTATTTCTGAGCGTATTAATGAACGGTGATTATTACTGAGTGCGCTCAGTTTTTCACAAAATTGTCAGCCTAATATTGAAACTCGCATCGCTGATAGGCAATAATTATCTCTATACAAAAAAATTACAAAAAAAATTGGTTACAGCCTCAGAAATAATTGTTGTTCCGTCACGTCTCTAAGTTGAGTGAAAGGAACTATGGCTCTTTTACCTTAATAGGGTGTAGGCGGGGGGTTATAGGGTGTAGGCGGGGGAGGGAGGTGAATTGGGGTAGGTGGTAGGTAAGGTAGGGTGGGGGTAAGTGTCCGTATAAATGTCGGTGGATGGATGTAAATTCGGGCGTACTCAATGTGGGTGATGAAATCGAGACGAACTGGGTTTGAGGGATATGGTTTTGCAAAAATTAACTAAATGTGGGTTAAAATGTAATGCAGAAACAGCCGCAATTTTTGCAGGATAATTGGAAAAACTTATAGAGATTGTAAGCCATTATAAACCATTACATTGGATTTTAAATGGATTTAAATCGATTTAATTTCTCGAAAAATAATTTTTTTTTTTAATTATAATCGATTGCGTGGTCCAAAAAAATTTTAATACTTGATTATAAGGGTAACATTTTGATCAAGAAAACTGATTATAATCAATTATTATCCATGGAACTTCACTGCGGGATGTTTTTCATCTAACTTTATACGCAGAAACCCATGTCATACAAATCCATACAAGAAACTGATGTGAAAAAGCTTATCATACAGTTTCCGTTTATGAAACTTCTATGGCAAGCGTTTTTAAATTTGTTACAATAAATCCAAAATAGGGGAACCATTTTAGAGGGAAAATCACCTCTATGCTCAAAACTTTTTCATATTTTCAGTAAACAAGCAGTTAAATTTTGTCTATGAAGTAGTAAAGACTCAATTTTAAGGGAAAATAAATTTAAAAAAAAGTTTTACTGCGAAGCTTTGTGCACAACCAGATTGATAAGTTTTTTTTGTTTTTGTATGGTATGGACGATTTTAAACTCTGAAGTTTAGTTTAAAAGACATGCTGTAAATTTCAACCTCGGGGTGATTCAAAAGAGAAAAAGCCTTCCAGTTTTATACCAAAAGCTTCTGCATTTATAAACAATCCTGTGCGAAATTTCATAGATTAATTCGGATGGCAAGTATCCATATGTTGCAAATCAATCTATGGGAATAATGCAACTAAATCAGTGAGTTTTGTTGGTGGAAAAGTTCTTACGTTTTAATTTTTGGAAATTTTAAGTGAATGAAAACAAATTTTTATCATAGACATTTCTTATATTTTTCTGAATTTATGGAATTATAAGAATCGATCAAATTTAATCCTCTCCCCCTTCCTCCTCAAGCCGTTTAGGGGGGGGGTGTTAACTTGCTTAACAGCCAATCAGAATAGAACATTTTACACGCAGAGGTTAGCAAATTCATTTTGAATTGAAAGCTGGGGTGGAGGATTTCAACTTGGTCGATTGAGGGATGGGGGGGGGGATGTTAACTTGATCCATTGAAATTGTATGAGGATTTCATTCATACCTACACAATTTTTTGTGTAACTTTAACTTAAAAAAACCTAATAACCGACGGAAAAAAACCTAATTCTTCTACGATGCTTTTATTTAGGTAAAAAAGCTCTGACATCTATCA